CTTCATCACCATGAGGAAGTAGTCCCAAACAAGTTGAATCTTATCCAGGATTGCAGAGCCAGAACTAGAATCCAAGATCTGTTGGCTTCCTTCCTCAACGTGCTGCCTTTGTGCTCCCTGCAGTTCCTGGTTAGTGATAACTAAGCCTTTTTGAGAATCGCATTGTTATAAAAGTGCTGCTCTGTTGAAACTTGAGAGACTTAAAGCACAGTATTGCGAGAGCCTCCTGGTCTCAGTGGTGAGGTCTGTTTCTTCCATCCGGCTCTTTTTAGCTTATTAAAACAAACCTGTCACGCTTAGAAGACATTTACTAACATATCTTATTTTGGTATCAGTGCACTTCCCTATGATTACACAGTGTCATTCCTAGAGGAGTGAGGAATCAGACCAAGGCCAGCATTGCTGCCTTTTCAGGTCTGAAGTTTCTGTACTTGAGGGATTTATATAAAGTGATGGGTGCCTTCGCTGCAGTAGCTTTCTCCCCCTGCCAAGCTAGTGAAGTTGCATCTTACAATAGATGATACCAAATGGAGGAAATAATAGTATGGAAAGAGTTGAATGCAATATCAAGTACAATATGTGTTCAATCCACTTATTTATGCATTCATAGGTTGATTTTTATATGTGCCCTGATCAGGGATCAAACCCACAACCTGGTGTATCAGGACAACACTCTAACCAATTGAGCTACCTAGCCAGGGCCACTGCTATTATTTTAAAAAAATTGAATAGAATTATGGTTCTTGTGTTAAGGCCATACCCTACTGGGGAAGTGAGGAGACCTCACGTAGTACAGAAACTTCAGACCCGAAAAGGCAGCAATGCTGGCCTTGGTCTGATTCCTCACTCCTCTTGGAATGACATTGTGTAGCCATAAGGAAGTGAGATCTACACACAGGACCCCAGGAGGGGAGCGCTGTCTCCTTTAGGAACCTAGACACTGAGGGTGGGAGACAACAGTGGCATTTGTAGTTGTAACTGCCCTGCAAACTAGAGCCTTCTGATTCATGCAAGGAGCATAGGTTTTTATTGCTGCTTTTTATCATCTCCTATTCTTTGAGGACATTTTACCTGAAGATCTTGAGCCTAAACTCAGCTGTGCTTCAAGGAGACTGACTCTTTACTCTTTGGCCTCAGTGTTAAAGGGGGAGCCTGAGTGGGAGTGGCAGCACTGAGCTGGAGAGCCAGGGGGAAAGTGGATTTTACAAAGGGATTAGGCCATAGTGGTGTGTTGATCCACCCCTCCCTTTTTGGAACGTCTCCTCCCAGTGGCAGACTTGGAGGTGCCAAGGTGTACTTGATCAAACAAGGCAGCCTGTCCTTCCAGATCTTTCTCTGCAAACACATCTGAAATACCTATATTCTAGTTTCATCCTCTGAATTGATTGGGGGGAGGAGTAGAGCTATGAGTCTTAGGTAGATGGAACATAAAATGAGCTCCTACTTCTTACCTCCCCTCTTTTAAGTGCAGTTTTAAAATGTATCTTGTACAGGGGCATTACCTCTAATTCTCTAACTTACTTCAAATGGTTCAGTGTAGATGGGGCCAGTAGAGAAAACTATAAAGCAAACATGGTAGAATGCCAACATTTGGGGAATTCAAGTGAAGGGTTTGTGGAAATTCGTTTTACTATTTTTTAATTTTTCTCTTAAGTATGAATTTTCTAAAGAAAAAGTTAAATACATATTTTAGCATTGTCCCCTGCAAACATACATATTGACATTATTATTTGAAGTCTGCACAGCATGCTGCTGGGTGTAATGTCAAGATCTTTAGCTTGACTCCTTTTGTTGGTTATTGATCATTTCCGGTTATTTGCCATTATAAACAGTGCTGCTTAGAGACCTGTAAATATGATATAATCTCAGGTATTTGAAATGGCATCCCCAAACCCTTTTGAAACACTCCCACTTCCATAATGGACCTCATAGGAATGTTTACAGTAAATTAACCAATTAATGCTTGAACCTAAGAACTTATTTAGAATTTTTAATGGGTTATATGGTGACTGTTGAGCAATATATCCTGATACTAATAAACACTAAGCCATAGAAAAATTTCTTCATTTTTGGTTCATCTCATGTAATAAAAATTTAGTCAAAAAGCGAATCTTTTAATGATATGAAACATCTTGGCTATGTGTTGACCACTGGAGTAATTATGAAGATTAGAAAGTTTTGTAATGTCCTGAAGTTGTAGCTTTTTTGCTTCATTCTGTTGGAAGCAACGAGCAAATCTTTTTTGCCCTAATTCCAACATGCTTGACTTTTTCATTGATTGCCAGAGTTTTCAAAGATTAATTTTTAAAAATTGATTTGAGAGAGAGATTTGTTATTCCACTAATTTTGCATTCATTGGTTGGTTCTTGTATGTGCCCTGATGGGGGATCGAGCCTGCAACCTTGATTGCCGCATATTTTAATTAGATTCCCCTTCTTATTCCAGCAACAGGTAAGATGAGGGGACTAGTCAGTGCAGTCAGATGCTCTGTTCTATTAATTCACCTTCAACTTCAAATTATTAGTTTTCCTAATGAAAAATTGAGGCCATAGAATATAGTTACATTTGACCTTTAGGTCAAAACAGCACTTGTTTTGCTAAAATGTTTGGTTGCTAATGCTTGATTCAGTTTTCAGCCTTCCCTTAATGGTTTTGAAAATAAAGTGGGTGAGCAGGTCTAGTTGTTGACATGCAATAATGTCTGAAGGCAGGTCAGGTGGGACCAGCAGATAAAAAGGATATCCATGATATTTTGGTCATATTCTAATTTCCAGACCCTACCTCAAAACTAACAACAACATTCCAATTAAACCCATTCCATATAATAATATACATGCTTTAAAATCTAACCCAGGCAGTCAGATTGCATTTGAATTTTGACATGCCCATTAGATTCAATTCCTGAACACTGTGAATGTTGTGTGTTCTTTTCTTTTTCTCTCTTTCCTTCTTCCTTAGAATAAACTGGAATGAGGGAAATGGGTTTATAAAACTCTAATTCAGGCACTAGCAGCCAGTGCTGTATTAAATTGCACTCAAATTAGGAACAAGAGCCAGGAAAAGAGCTCTTTTCTGTCTCCTCTAGCTGTGAGTCAGATACTGCACCCAACTGCCTAGCAGACCAGTGCTTTCTGCACAGTGACAGCAATGGGAGGGGCTGTGTTGTATGGAACTTGCCCAGGGCACTTGGCTCAGGAATTGACACACATCAGAAGTTACTGTTCCTTTGAAAAACCATGAAGTCATGGGTTTTGTTTCATGTCTCTGGTTAAGGAAAGGTTTGGTTTGGGGTGTTTTTTTTTTTTTTTGGTTGTTTTTTTTTTGTATATTTAACTTTTCCATTTACTCTGCACTTAAAAATATAAAGACTGTAAAATGATATTTCCTAGACATTGTCTGTGTGGTGGTACTACCAGCAGCAGCCACCGTTTGTTTAGCTGGGAATAAAGAAGAGATATAAGTAGTGGATCTTTTCTCCAAGACACTAGGTAATCTCTCTCCTTACGGTCTTTCTCTGGGAAAATACTATATGTGTGTGTTTGTATGTACATACATATTTGTGTGTATATGTGTATATAACATGCATATAAAAAGTCAAAATGCTGACTTGAAGTAGGGCTAGAGACATTTAGCTTTTTAAAAAATATATTTTTTTTATTGATATCAGAGAGGAAGGGAGAGGGAGAGAGAGATAGAAACATCAATGATGAGAGAGAATCACTGTCTGATGCATGCCCCTGACTGGGGATTGAGCCCACAACCCGGGCATGTGCCCATGACTGGAATAGAACCGGGGATCCTTTGGGCCGCAGGCCGATGCTCTATCCACTGAGCCAAACCAGCTAGGGTGAGGCATTTAGCTTTAAAATGAATTTTTGGCAGGTTAAAATATTTCCAAAAAATCTATCCTTAATTGGAGGTTGGCCTCTTGACTGTGTGGGCGTATACTAATGTGGGATCATCTACATCCTCCTGTTAATATAGCTTGGCTCACTAGACAGATTTTGCTATGAAGGAGCAAACTGACACTGCTTTTATCTCTTTCTGCCTCTACTTTTGTTATATCCGTTATTCCCCTAGATTTAAGAATATACTAATTTTCTTTATACATTTTCCATTGAAAAGTTTTGACCTGGAGGCCATAATTAGTACCCCATGATTCTTTCTCTGGGGAAATACTACATGTGTGTGTTTGTATGTACGTACATATTTGTGTGTATATGTGTATATAACATGCATATAAAAAGTCAAAATGCTGACTTGAAGTAGGGCTAGAGACATTTAGCTTTTTAAAAAATATATTTTTTTTATTGATATCAGAGAGGAAGGGAGAGGGAGAGAGAGATAGAAACATCAATGATGAGAGAGAATCACTGTCTGATGCATGCCCCTGACTGGGGATTGAGCCCACAACCCGGGCATGTGCCCATGACTGGAATAGAACCTGGGATCCTTTGGTCCGCAGGCCGATGCTCTATCCACTGAGCCAAACCAGCTAGGGTGAGACATTTAGCTTTAAAATGAATTTTTGGCAGGTTAAAATATTTCCAAAAAATCTATCCTTAATTGGAGGTTGGCCTCTTGACTGTGTGGGCGTATACTAATGTGGGATCATCTACATCCTCCTGTTAATATAGCTTGGCTCACTAGACAGATTTTGCTATGAAGGAGCAAACTGACACTGCTTTTATCTCTTTCTGCCTCTACTTTTGTTATATCCGTTATTCCCCTAGATTTAAGAATACTAATTTTCTTTATACATTTTCCATTGAAAAGTTTTGACCTGGAGGCCATAATTAGTACCCCATGATTAAGTCAGGTTAATCTCTTTTGTCTTATTTCATCCAGAATGTGTAGTTCCTAATATTTCCCTAGTAAAAGGTAGGCCTGAGGTGATCCTACTTAAGAGAGAGTTGCTGTGTTAATACCTGCACCTAATACTCCAGTTGTGTTTTGTTGTTTGTGTGTACTAACTTTTTCTTTTTCCCATTCACTTTCAGCAGACCTACTCCAATGAAGTCCATTGTGTTGAAGAGATTCTGAAGGTGAGTTCATTGTTACTGTTTCTCACTTGAAGAAATATTTAGGTAGTCAGGCAATATCCATTGACTTTGTGAAAAGTTGCCATTCCAAACCCCTTTAAACAGCCCCCCCTCCAACCCCAAACATCTCCAAAAGCAAAATTAACCAGAGCAGTAACAGAGGGACGCTAGGAACATTATTGAACTCTCTGGCAGATTTTATTAATAAAAATGAAGTCTTCAAACTGCAAGGCTTGTGGACCAGAGTTTTGAGATCTCTCTCTCCAGTTTTGCTGGTTGTCCATGAGCACCCAGGAGAGTTGCCTACTTTCAGGGGAACTCCCTGCATGGATGCAGTCAGGGAGCCACCAGCTGTTTGGTCTGCACCTCTTGGTGGTTCATAGGTGACACCTCATATTTGTATTTTCAGTGAGATACAAATATACAGTTTTTAAAGGGGGTAAGAACATAGCAGACAGACTCTGCTAGAAACCAGGAACTGGTCATGTACAAGGGTCCATGTGCAATGTGCCTTAGTGGGTGAATGGAAATAGCTCAGGTTTGCATAGCCTCTTGGGGGAATAATGCAGTACTTGTAGTACTTATGTTAGTGCAGCATTCCATTGACATTGGCACAGTGAGTGGTAACACTATTTGTTTGTTCGTTCGTTCATTTACTCAGCAAATGTCTATTAATCTTCAAATACTTTTTAGGCATTGGGGATGCCATAGGAATAAAAGTCCTTGCTCTCATGGAGGTCATAGTGGGGAAGATGAATATATAATAAAATTCTAGGTAGTGATAAGTGGTATTAGTCCTGTAGCAGGCAAATGAACAGATAACTAGGCAGAGGAAAGAGTGCAAAAACCTTGAGATGGGAACAGTTGGTGTGTTACAGAACAGGAAGAAATAGACAGTGTGTCTAGAGCAGCCGTGGGCAAACTACGGCCCGTGGGCCGGATTCGGCCCGTTTGAAATGAATAAAACTAAAAAATAAAAAGACCGTACCCTTTTATGTAATGATGTTTACTTTGAATTTATATTAGTTCACACAAACACTCCATCCATGCTTTTGTTCCGGCCCTCCGGTCCAGTTTAAGAACCCATTGTGGCCCTCGAGTCAAAAAGTTTGCCCACCCCTGGTCTAGAGCAAAATGAGGGAGGTGGCGTGTAGAGCGGAGACGGCAGCGGTGTCGCCCAGAAGGCCAGGACTGAAACAGTGCCAAGTATTTTACCCCCACTGATGTGATAAGTCATGCTAAGGCTGGGGCAAATTTGTGATCTTGTGATTCTGGGCAGCTTCCTCTCATGGCCCCAGTTCTCTTAAGGCCTAAGTCCCTCTCCCGAGCTAGGCATTCAGGGCAGTGCATACATTCTTTCAGCAAACTACACATTCCAGCTGCCTAATTCAGTAGCCAGGGCAGTCTTAGGCAGTGACAGTACAATGGATGTTTTCTGGGAATAATTGGTGATTAACCATCATAGATTGGAATTCTAAAGAAATTGGAATTTTAAATAAATTCTAAAGAAATTCTTGGAATTCTAAAGAGATTCTTGGAAAACTTAAGGATGGTACTTTCAAACAACTTCTCAATTAATTATTATATTTTACATTGTAGCGTTATAATGGTCCCATAGCTTAAAGTATAGTCAAATAAATAAAACAGTAAGGAGCTCTCTTTGGTGCAGTATTTTGGTGAAGTTCTTCAAAAGCTAGACTATTAATTAAAAGTTGTAATGCTTTTAATTTTTTAAGTGCTTTCTATGCACTATGTATCCAAGCATTTTACATAAGTTACCCATAACACTTTGAAAAATAAGTGGTTTTAGTCTACTTGTTATTGACATCTGAGGCTCAGAGAGCTCCAAGAGCGCAGGCTCAGCTGGCTGTTGAGGGTAAGTCAACATCAATTACGCTGCTTATTACTGTGCCAGGCCCTTTCTGTCAATTCTGGGGCTGTAGCGACCCAGAGAGAGGCTGCAGGGACAGGCCAGAGGAGATGTGAACCGAGTTTGGGATTGGAAATAACCTACTAGAGCAGCGGTCGCCAACTTCTCGGACCTCACGGACCGCCAGTGGTCTGCGAACCACCAGTGGTCTGCGAACCACTGGTTGGCGACAGCTGTATTAGAGCACCATGTTCAGCTGTGGTGAGGATCAGTGGGCAATTCTGTGGTCAGAGAGGTTGGTCAGTCACTCAAATATGCTTGTGTTTTTCCACAATGCCAAGTTTATTAGGGAGACCTCCCCAATAAGCCAGCAGTTACAAGCAGGTAGAAGTGAGCAGAGCCAGCATCCAGTGCAAAGTCCCGCTCACTGGCCATGTCTGCAGTGGAGAGGTGCATGTAGGTCTCAAAACAGGCAGCCACAGGGGTGCACCTGTCAGATGGAGTGGGAGTCAGGCAGGGCTCTGGGCGTGACTGGTACATCAAGCGCCTGGAGGTCGGAGCTCTGAGTTCTTACAGCCTCAGTGGGCAGAGGTCCCGCTCCATATCAGTATTCATATGAAGGCCTTATCCCAGTGTCCAGACTTGTGGTTTTGGCCGTCCCTGTTCCCCGGATCACCTCAGTCGACATAGCACTTGTCATAACTGGCATGGCTGACAGTGACTCCATGTTGGATTGTCAAAAGTGTTCAAAAAGTCCACTCTGCTCTTGCCCCAAAATGTGGAAATTGGTTTTTTTCTTTTAGACGGGGAAGGCAAGAGGCCCATACCCTGTGCTGTCAGCCACTGGCTTCCTTTCAGTCATTTGGGAGCTCCGTTTTCTCATTGGTAAAGAGAAGGTTGCAGTTAGTGATCCCCCAGCCACTTTAGCTCTGATAAAGTGTGTATGCGTGTGCATGTACATATTTGTGATTGGACACCTTTAATCTGACACTGTTTTTAGCAGAGTAAGATATAATTCATGAATGTGCTTAGAAAAAAGAATTCATGTCAAGGTAAATGTATTCATTTGTAAGATTTAGAAACCTTGCCTCTATGAAGAGTAAATAGAAATTAAACTTCTGTTCATGGAAAGGGAGGTAATTTTTTAAGGCTCTGTCCTCCACACTGTTCTTATGTACTAATAGTGTGTATCAGGGAAGGGTCAAATCCATTAAAACTCTCCCAAGAGGAACAAGTGACCTAAATTACTTGTTTGCTTAAGTCAAACAGGAAAATTCTTCTTCCTTTGAACTTAAATAATTCCAGGAAATGCAATAAAGAAGCTGAGGGAGAAAGAAAGCATTGAGCAGGCTCCGCTTTCACAGTTACATAAGCTCTGGTAATACCTACACCCGTGTGTACGCTTTACCGTATTCAGAGTGTTAAGACCATTGCTGTTCTATGCTCTTGTTTTTCTCCTTCATACTGATTTTTTTTCTCTTCAGTTTTGCAAGTTGGAGATCTTCAGCTTTTGAACATAGCCCATTAAGTAGGAGATTTTTAAAAAGGAAATGAAATAACCTTTAGTTTGACTTTTTCATTTACCATCAATCCACCCTGCATTGTTTAAAAAATTCACTTCAGTAGCAATGTGTTCTATTTATAATTGGCTTTTTCTTCCCTCCCCAAATCTCTTTTCAGGAAATGACCCATTCGTGGCCACCTCCTCTGACAGCAATACATACGCCCAGTACAGCTGAGCCCTCCAAATTCCCCTTTCCCACCAAGGTAACGCCCTCAGTGCCGCGGGCACTGCACCCATAGTGCCGTCTGAGGATTGCTGTGAGCCAGATTAGTCAACTGCTGCTTGTTGAACTCTTTGGCAATTACGTTAAAATTACAATTAATTTGACTTCTAAAGTGCTTCATAATGTATTCAAACACTTTCTTATCCAAAGTATGTCAGTAATTTTTTTATTGGGGTAATTGTATAGGGTTTTGTAGCTTATGAAAGCATTCAGTGCTTTCAGTAAATCCTCTCCTTTGAGGGTCATTACCTAGAGATGGGAAAACAGAGTCACAGGAAATAAGTGAGGTGGGTTGTCTGGTTCCTAGTTTAGAATGGAGATACATACATTTACACACATACATACATGCATCTTACACTACTCACATTTCTTAACTTTTCTTAAAGTTTAACGTGATCTGCTACACTTGTGCTGGTTTCAGAACAAGCAAATCAACAGCTGACATATGTTTCTGTTGCAGTATTTATGAACAGTGAAATAAAATTAAAATACTACCATTTTTCTTTGGGGGGGTTGTACTTTAGGATAGCCTTCAGAATGTAGAAATATCTTCAGATCTGTGTTCTGTCTAACCTGATATATGCATGCACATTGTTAATATATTATAGCCATTCCTTTCCATGGTATTGTTTTCAAAAGAGGTTATGTCTTCTCAAATTAGTATTTGCCACATTTGATACTTGACATATTTTCTAATGATAGTTTTTTAAAAAGATGATTCATGTTTAAAGTAAAAATATTATATACATTTTGTGTTTTTTTAAAATCTTTGCTCAATACTAAAGGAAAAATAAATTCTAGTAAAGAAGAGAAGCAATAAAACCTATTTTGTATAAAAATTAGACTTATCAGTAGTTAATATATTTAGCCATGATGCAACCTTAATTTTATAAACCTTAACTGGAGATTTTTCTTTTTCTTTATAGGATTCTCAACACATCAGTTCTGCAACCCAAAACCAAAGTAAGTAAATATGTGGAACTGATTATTGCACTGGAGAACAAAGCTTGGTTCTTACTGTTTTGATATTAAAGGAAGGAAAAGACATTAATGAGGGCTTCCTGTGTTGAAAGAATGGGAATGCAAGACCAATATAAAGCTGCTCTTTAGGTGGAATTTCAGATTGTTGCAAAGAGTTCATGGAGCTGTTTTAGTAAAGTCCTTAACAGATATAATTTGGTATTACATGGCACGTGATCAATATCTTGAATAAGATTCTCAAGCATTATAATCCAGGAATTGTATACAAGGGTGGGCAAATATAGGTTTGTAGTTGTGAGTGATACTCTTTGGATTTGATAAAGCTATTGTAATACTCATAATCTGCATGTCTTTCCATGCAAACAACTGTAACCCTAGTTTTGCTCACCCCTGTATAAGACCAGGTTGGGATATTTTGTGTGATTCTTGTATTTCTTTATACAAAAGTAAGAAATTGTTATAAAGAATACAGCACACAGTTTCTTTAGCCCCTCTATATGTATTTGCCATATAATTAATTTTTTAACCCCTTTTATGGATTGTAAATACTTGAAAATTTAGGGAGAAACGGAAAAAAGCTAACTTTATCCATCTCTTCTCTTCATCAGTAATTTTGATAAATTCTTTTTGTCCCAAATACATGCAAGGCATTTCATACCTTACAAAATTGACTAGGGTATTTGCAGTCATTTAGTTCATTAATACTGTGTAGTAGGTGCCCAAGTTCTAAAGTTTTAGTCTTCAAAGAATGGGGACCTCAGTAGGTTGTGTGTCGGGAGAGGGAGCTCTGAGGTAGATGTTCCGTGGAGGTGACTCTTCCTTCATCTTTTCCACCTCATTCTTTTTCATCATTTGCATTTCCCCCTCTTGGTTATTCTACCATTTAAATTGGATGTGAGGAAAGTAAAAAGATGAGAAAAGCAAGAAACAGAGCATCCTTCCTCTAGAGCAGGGCTGGGAAAACTACAGCCTACAAACACAACCTGTTCTGCAGCTAGTTTTTGTACAGAAAGTTTTATTAGGACACAGCCGTGCCTGCTTATTATTAAGCCACAAGGTGTAGCATGCAAAGTGTAAAATACACGTCTGACCTTTACAGAAAAAGTTTTCTGTCCCCTGCACTAGAGATACTAAATAAGGTCTTGCAAAAAACTGACCATCTTGCCACAGTGTTATATAAAGTAGCAAGGTAAAATGGACAGAAATCGATGGCTGCTTGGGGAGATTGGGAAATCTTTTTTCCTAGCATCTTGGCAGCTGAGGCAGAGATAGCTAGCTGGTGGAGTGGCGCGGGACTGCAGGTGGGCCGCCAGCTCAGCTGCGGACAGGATTGCCAGTGCTCCTGTACCCGTACTTGCTGGGCTGCCAGCCATGCAGATTCTGTGCCTCCTACTGGTTTACTCACAGCGTGATGGCTAGCTCCTGGTTTAGAAAGGCCTACTCATCCTTTAAATGGATTTCCCCTTTTAGCAATAGAGTTGAAGATGGACTGGTAAGTGCTTCGTTGTCCAGGTATGGGTGTCCTCTCGGCCTGTGGACTCATGCGGGCTCATTCTTTGTTTCTCTGATGAGAAGTTTTCAGACTGGCAGGTCTCCTGTAGGTCTTGGCTCACCCTTCAGGAGTTACCTTGGGGTCTTACTTGTTGCCACCACTTGTCTGTGGGTGTTCTGTGGAACCTAGTTTACCTTTGGGAGGATGTGGTCTATGTGGGGCCTGGTTGGACCCTAAAGGGGTCTAGTTGTGTGTTGGATGAAGAGGGAGTAGAGTTTATATGGATATAGCTTTCAGAAAGGTAAAGTTTGACATATATTTATGCCCAGGAAGAGAATTGAAACGTCTTGAAAGGGATCTTACGGTTTTGTAGAGTTCAGAGAATGAAGTGTAGGGACTTTACTCGTGTGTTCACATCCACATGTGGGAACATATCTGCCTGCGGATAACAGAGCCTCGTGTGGCTGAGGGCCAGTCAGGATGATTGAGCAGGAGTCCCTGCACATGGTCAGAGGGTGACCCTAGTCCCTCTCATTTGTAGTCCTGGCTTTCTAGCTGGAAGGGGAAGCAATTAAAAAATATTATGTAAGAGCTGCTGCCACCATGAGGATAAAGTGATTAATTGCAAATATTCAGGGGTCCACATGACCTTTGTGAGAAATACCACTCACTCTTGCCTAAAGGCATCCCTGTTTCCACCCACTCGAGTCCTGTTTCAGGTTCCTCTACCTCATGCTCAGACAGAATCAGCAGCCTCTTAACTGGCTTGCTGCCTCAACAGTTGACGTTTCCTGCTCTCTTCTAGGTTAGCCTGGGCTGCACCTCCAGAATACTTTTCCTGAGGAATAGCTGCATCAAATCCCTGTTTAGACCTTTGATGGTGTCTCATTGCCCAACAAATAGTTATAACTTCCCACCCTGGCCTTCAGAGCCCTCCAAACCCTGACTTCCACCTGTCTTTCCATGTCCTTCTTCACAGATTCTCACCCCAGCCTCACCCTTTCCAAATCTGTGCCGCTGCTACACCTCCACTCTGCACCTTGGTTTGCAGTGCCTCCTCTGCTTGCAGATCTTCCTCACCCTCCTGCCAGAGTCATTCTGTCGGCATCTCACCCGTCCTTAGTGACACAGTTCATGGGGTTCCCTTTGCCTCCTTTAATCATTTGCCTCCTCTAATTAATCTAGGGGCCATTCTCTTAATTCCTGGGACAATTACTTTATGATCAATTTGTGTACTTAATCTCACACTGCCTAGGCTTGTAGGTATTTGTGCTCTGTTTGATGTCCCTCAGTCAACTGTAAGCTCATTGAGGACAGGGTCAAGTGCCCTGAACATCTTACCCATGAGACACTCTATAAATAGCTGGTGAATATGTAGATTGTGGGGGATGTTGAATAATGGAGGGACAAGAGGGAGGTTTGGCCAAGGACAGAGGCTGTAAGTGGAGTGCTGACAAATGACTGATAGATACCTGAGGTCAAACCAGGTTGGGGGTGAGAGCAGCTCTGCCCTGGTGCTTCCATCTGAACCCCCCATCAGGAGAGTCTTCTGGGCATCCTTCCTCTGCCCCCGGACAGGGTGGCAGGGCCTCCTGCAGGCAGTGCTTTTCAGAGTGCTTTCGCTTTAAGCCAGTGGTTCTCAACCTTGGCTGCACATTAGCATCACCTGGGAATCTTTTTAAAATCCTTATTTCTGGGCCTCATCCTCTGGAAATTCTGTTTCTTTGTTATGGGGTGAGGCCACAACATTAGTAACAAAGAAACAGAATTTCCGGAGGATGAGGCCCAGAAATCAGGATTTTAAAAAGATTCCCAGGTGATTCTAATGTGCAGCCAAGGTTGAGAACCACTGCTTTAAGGGTTTTTAACTCCAAGCAAGCCCTCCCTCTAGAAGTAACATAAATAGTGATGGGATCATGACAAATGCAGTGTTTAGCACCCTGGTGGACAGAATTTAAATATACTGAGTGTTTAGGTGAAAAGGTGAGGGGGGACACTAAAAAAGGGAATTTATAACTAAAAATCTCATGAATATATGTCACAACGCTGCTCTAATCATTTTCCCCCTCCCCCATAGAACAATATGATACATCTTCAAAAACCCGCCCTCATTCTCAGCAGGGAACATCGTAAGTAAAATGCTTTTGTTTATTAAAAGTTTTTAATACAACATTGTAATTTCCCATGTAAATCTGTTGTTTGGATTTTTTTTTTCTTTTCCTGTTTTCACATAATGAAGTTCAGAAAATACTGCTGCATTGTAGAGGGAAGAAATGACCTACATTTATATTTGGATTAAGTTGTGTTGAAATGTTAGGCACCATAACAGTGGTTTTCTCACAAGAATGGCGTTTGAGCCATAATTTACATATTAACTGTGGAAAATAGAAGGTTTTAGCTGTATAAATTTTAGTCTTAAGTAGCTTTAGCTTTTGGAAACATCTTGGGGGGTGTGCACAATTTAAGATTTGCTGCCACCTTTTTGGCCTAGTTTTACAGAATGAGCCCTACTGCCCAGCTGTGCTTTATTAAGGCCACGTAAGTCCAGATATATTTTGGGTTTTTGGAACAGTTTAAACTACATAATAAAGATTTTTAAATCAGCATTTTGACCCAGTTTGTCATTTCTTGATGATATTGAACTAATAGTTCTTTCTTTCACACACCTAGAAGTGGTGTTTGGGGACCAAGTGAGAAGGCCTTTCTCTCCTTAGGTATCTAATCAGTTACTAACGATGTGGGGTGGCTAGTCTCAGGTTCAGACTCCCACTTTCTGCTATTTTCTGGGCATAATATTTGTTCCATATATTTTGGAAACAGGGATTACTGTGGATTGAATTTTTTTTTAAAATATATTTTATTGATTTTTTACAGCGAGGAAGGGAGAGGGATAGAGAGTTAGAAACATCGATGAGAGAGAAACATTGATCAGCTGCCTCCTGCACACCTCCTACTGGGGATGTGCCCACAACCAAGGTACATGCCCTTGACCGGAGTCGAACCCGGGACCTTTCAGTCCGCAGGCCGACGCTCCATCAATTGAGCCAAACCGGTTAGGGCTGGATTGAATATTTTTAAAACTGTAAAATCACCATTCCCAATTGCCACTGTTCACTTTATGCAATTTGTTTTCATTTCTCCATAGCAAAATAAGAAAAAAAGAACAATATAATGAGATATTTAAAATAAATTTATTATAGTTTAAGGGATGGATTTATGTGTGTGTGTAATAAAAAATCTATTTCACTTGTGGTACTAGCAGGTGGTGAGTTTGTGCTTGTTTTTATTGTCCTTTACTAGAAAAGAAAATTGATTCATATGTCAGTTATTCTCTCCCCTTTTTTTCTTTTTTGCCTTTTCCTTTTTCCCTTTTTGTTTTTTCTTAAAGAGAAAAAAATTGCTTTGCTCCCAAATTTTGAAGTCTAGAATCACTTTCCTAGATCAATTGCATTTAAAGAAGGAGGTTTGTTAAGCCAGTTGATGGCTGGGTAGAAGATAGAAACCACAGCTCCAAGGCTCATAATTGTAATAACTCTGTATCTTCCCCAAGGTTTTTACACCTTGTGCTCTTTATAATAGCTGGTAGTAGAGCCCTTTAGACCATAAAAGGCCCTGGCCAGTGTCTTTGGGGGGCAGTGAGAAAGGGGGAGTTGAAGAGCTTGCGTCTCACTTGGCAGTAAGAATAGAAGGGAGGTGCTCTCCTAGAAAGTGAGTGAGTGGAGGCAGCAGCACCAGCAGAGAGCAGCTGTGTCCCTGGGCCTATGAGGACAGGAAGAAATGAGGCAGATCTAGGCTTAAGAAGTAGCTTCAGGTGGAGCAGACTCCCATCACAGTTTCCGTCAGCTTCTGGGTTTAGGTAGTTGGTGGGGACTTAATGCTACTCAGAGATATGGGTAGTTCTGATAAGTGAGATAGACCACTGAAATCAGAGATGCCTGGAAGTTTCTAACAGGTATACTTATCTCTTGTGATATTTGTAGTGGTTTTTTTTTAATAAAAATGTTAATTTGCTATATACAAAATTAACTAGAAAAGCATTTTGTCACGACCCTCATTGACTTAGGGAAGGAATGAAAGTAGGGCCTAGTGGAGGTAAAGAGGAGGTGGAGAGTGGTCCAGGAGAGAAATTAGTACTGAGCCTGGGTAGATGAGGGGGACTGTGTGGTTGTAGTGGTGTGGGGTGGGGGTGGTGGTATTGATAAGTGCTCAAATGAATTGTACCTGTAGGTTAAAGGAATCACATTTATGGAGACTTCATGTAAGCAGTGTCCCAATTAATTTGTAAAGTGCAGTCATTGCTTCAGATTTAGTACAGTAAACCTCTTAGTGCTCACAGGTTAATTTGATCTGGTGTCAGCATTAGGGTTCTTTGACATGCACTTCAACTGCTTGAGTGACACATACTAGTACAGCGCCTGGGAGATAGTCTAATGTACTTTGAATGTCAGGAAAGAAATGTTAATTACAGAGTCATTTGTACTTTGGTTTCAAAAGTCAATCTAGGTCATAATGCTCTTTGTTTCAGAGTTACTAGTACTTGAGACTCCTTAGAAAAGTGGAATAGGGTGTGTGAAGGAAAACAGAAGGGCCCAGCACTGGAGAATAACTGGAGCCTGTCTTAACTTCTCTCTGTTCAGACCTTGGAGGAGCGCTGGTGCTAGCTAGCCTGGTGGTAGAGGATGTAGGAGGGAAACAAATATGTGCAGAATCCATTGCTTTTACTTTTTGTGGTTGAAGCTCTAGTTAGTTCTTAAATGATGAATTCCTTCTGCCAAGCTCTGCAGGGGAGTGATTAGCTAGGACAGCCGTGGGCAAACTACGGCCCGCGGGCCGGATCCAGCCCGTTTGAAATGAATAAAACTAAAAAAAAAAAGACCGTACCCTTTTATGTAATGATGTTTACTTTGAATTTATATTAGTTCACACAAACACTCCATCCATGCTTTTGTTCCGGCCCTCCGGTCCAGTTTAAGAACCCATTGTGGCCCTCGAGTCAAAAAGTTTGCCCACCCCTGAGCTAGGATGTCAGTGCCATTTCCCCTCAGTTTAGGGGAGGAGGTGCCTGGCTTTGGAATCCTCTTCTTTCCCAAGGCTTAGGTCTGTGCAGTTCTCAGGGGAAAGTACGTCTTTCCTTTTTTAATACAGTCATTAGATCCTTTCTATGATTGGGGGCAGTTCCCTTTCTGTGCAGCCAGATACAGTTTACGGGTATCAATTCTTTTGCCAGCCTTTCAGAAGGGATAATCCGTTAATGTTTAAGAAACTATAAAGCAGTCTCCAGAGATTATTGTGGCTAACTTTCTTCTCCCTTCCCACCCCTGCCCTGAAATTGCCAAGTCCTTACTAGAAAGTACCCTCCTTTACTTTTCTTGTATCTCTCTCAGAAATCGTCAGTGCTTATTTAGACTAAGAGACAGAACTTAGCCGTTATAAGCAGTTTGCAGTTTTATTTACATACATGGAAAGTTTCTTTTGAAACAAGGAAGATTCTAGACTTAAAGACTGGGATTGGAAGAAGAAGAAGAAAAAAAAAAAGACTGGCATTGGGATCATCTAGAAAGTTTGATGATGAGAAATGGTACAAAGATAATAAAGGCTGAGAAGAGCCTGATACCTTTTTAAATGAGCCCGAGTTTTCAACTTTTACATTCAAAACATTATTGGTTTTGAAACTAAATGTTGGCAAAGGATTAAGGAAGCCCCATTATTTCAGTTTATTATAATATAAAATGATCACATCAGGACACATGTCTGCTGAAATGTCCTAAAATTTAAGAAGTGACTTACTTGGACCAGCTCATTTAAATTATATTTAGCCTAAGGAAATTGTTCATAACTCTCCTTTTTAAGATATTCTTTTTGTCTTGCCTTTAAATGTTAGCTTATATTATGTGAAAGTGTTTTGCCTGGATCCTTTATTTTAATGCCAGCTGTAATGTAGAGTGCTATTTGCTGATAAATATTATGGAAGAAGTGATTAGAAATCACCTAATGTGCAAAGCTTGTGAATTATTTGTCACTGAGATCACACCCGTCTCCCGTAAACAAGAAACAAACATTTGTGCTATCAGTCACACATTGGTAGTTCTACATTCAACCTTCAGCATCACAGAGTGTAAGTGGAGACCCCGTTCTAATAATGCTCAGTACTCAATACCAGGTGTTGCTAGAAAAGGATACACCTTGTTTTCACCCTCAGCTTATCTGATCAAATGATTGAGGATCCAGGGTTACTGCTGTTCAGAACTATGTTAGTAACCTAGATATATTGGGAAGTGATTTGTTAGGAGAGTTAGGGGTGTAAAATAAAAGAGAATAAGGCAGGTAGCTTTTCTTTTAAATATGTTAATGTTAGCCATGCTGTCGGGAAATGAGAATTTGTAGGATTGAGTATTGAAGATTTCTGTTCATAAATGGAAGCAAACAAAAAGAATCATTCTGTGCAATGTTTTGTTTTGTTTTTTAAAGCTGCTTATTTCAGAATTATAGTCACTAGGGGACATTAAACCAACATTTAGAAAACACTACAACTCCCAATTGTAGAATCACCTTTTTCCCCCATCCACACTATGCTGTGACTAGCTTACTGTAGGATTATAGACTCTTGGAATAGTCAGTTTAACTCTTCAACTTTAAACTTTACTAGATAATATTCTAGGATCTCTTGCAGGACAATGTTTGACTTAACATTGTATATGAGTTCATGCTTGAAATTTGAGTAATGTTGAAGGCATAATGTTGAAGGCTATGTAACGAAGCCTCTTTTAAATAATTATAAAAATACTGCTAAGGAGCTGGATGGATCATCCTCTTCAGAGTATTCACCTTGGAGCTATACTTTCAAATGATGCAGCTCTGGCTTGTACTACTTTGGGAGCACCCCTTTAGGATAATATCTACCACTATGCTTGGTCTAAGACCAAAGGTCAAATAAAATGGAAAATAATAATTTTGTATAATAGGTAAGTGTTAAGTAAATGAACCTGTGTGTGTCCTACAAAAGAAAGTCTTCTCATCATTCTTTAACATGCCTTTGACTTCAGTTATATAAATTACTAGAGTCCCAGTGCACGAGATTTGTGCACTGGGGCGGGGGGTGGGGGGGAGGCGGAATCCTCAGCCCAGCCTG